TTTTCTCGTACATTTTTAACTGTTGACCATAAACCTGTAGTTTTTTTGCCATGTAGTCAGTACTCAATCTTTTTACCTTTCCATGGAATATATATCCCAGTACTTCCTCAAAGCATTTTGCTTTTATCGTAAATACCTTGTATAAATACAATTTATCTCTGAAGTGTTTATATTCTAGGCGTAATTTGGTGACATGTCAGTTGTACAACGTGATCAGTAGTAGGCACAATTATTGTATTTTACTTTCCTTTAATAATTTATAATCATTGTCTTCCAACTGAGATATGAAATGAGAAGCAATAAAGTATCCAGCGTAATTAGGGATGAACACGTAAAATGTGGAAAGTTTAAAAGAACTTACCCGGTAATATTTTTTGATATTATTCTGTGTGGAATATTCTATCAAATAAAATAAAGGGTTTCCATGGAAACCGTGACACTTATTAGCCCTAGTATTGGTAACTTCTATTCTGGCTGTCATTTGGAATTCAAAATCATTCAACATACAACAACAAAGTTCTACTTCAGACTTTGAACAAGTCTTTCACGTAAGATTTCACAAAGTTTCATAACAAATTGTTTGTAGTGTTCATTTCGATCTAACACTTTTGCTGTATCAGTATGATTAAATAAATTAAATAAATATAATACATCTCACACTTTGTATACATTTTTCATAGCATCTGTATTTTTCTATAAATTTAAAACCCTTTGTGGTAATTATTTTACCATTCTAAATACATCTCAGAAATAATAAAACTTGTACAAAACTAACATGATAGTGAAAAAATAAATAGGAGTCTGTGGTATATTCATTTGATTGATTGGCATGCAATTTTATCTTAAATATTCAGATACAGTTTTAGTAGTTAGACATTGTACATTGCCAGACAAAAGAATTCTTGTTCATCAGATGTTTTCTTTTTTTCTTAAAAATTGAAAGAAAGGAATTTTTGCCAAAAAGTTTGAATGGTTATATTCACCTTGAATTTTTTTAAACAATGTATAAACACAAAAACTTGAAAGTAAATATCACAAACATTGAAGCAGATGACCATTTGACAATATTGTTCTGAATATGGGAAGATGCTCTGACAACTCTGGTCTGAGGAACAATTAAATTGTTCTTTGGTCTAATGGACAACATCAAAAGTTCAATGTAGGATAAAAAACTTAATTCCTTTAGTTTTTTTCCCCAACCCCCCTACCCCCCACTGAAACTTAATTGATAAATATTGATCACGTCGCCAGACTACATTCACCATTAAATACAAATTGACAATCGGACAGTACCGGTAGTATGGCATAGCAGTTGGTTCTAGGTACATGCCCTGAAATTGACCTCATTGGACGCACATATTTACACTCGGACAAAACCATTTTCTCGTCTTGGATGTTTTTTTTTTCATTTTCTGTTATTTTTGTCCATGATTGGATAGAAAAAAAACTAACTACAAATACTCCATGATTTTTTTGACTTCATTAAAAAATAAAATCGTTTTTGTAGGATGGAAACTTTTTAAAGTCAAAACCCCCCACCCCCAAACTAAAGCAAATAAGTTTTTTATCCGACATCGATCTTTTGACGTTCTCCCTAACCATGAATTGTTTCAATATTCAAGAATCATTTTTCTGCAATGTTGAACAGATTTTCTCTTTGTAGACCTGTGTCTAAATTTAGGTTTAGGAAGTTCTATATTTAGGAAGTGATTGTTAAACCACAATCGTCATCCTGTCATGTTCGATATGGATTCCATATAACATTGAATGTGTATAAAATTCATTTAAAGCAATGTTGCCTTTAACATTTTAATTAGCATGCAAAAATTGGAATTGAGTAATCTGTCAAAAATATCATGCAAGAAAAATATCTTTTTGCAGAAAACAATGATATATACAAGGCTTAGAAATAGTGATATATTAAATAAATATTAGACAACTTGTATTATAGTGATTATAATTTGAATTATATTTCCCTTTCTCTGAGATTTTTTCTGGAAATGACCTAATG